ACCCGGCCATCACTTCAATCCTCGACGAGTTCAGGGACGTCTTTCCCGAGTCCTTACCCGCCGGACTACCTCCGGATCGTGGCGTATCGCATACCATTGATTTGGAACCCGGACATTCTCCACCTTGCCGCCCTCCATACCAACTCTCTGTCCCCGAAGCCGAAGAAATGAAACGGCAACTCGGTGAACTCCTTGAAAAAGGGTTCATTAAGCCAAGTTCATCCCCCTTCGGAACCAGCTGCCTTTTCGTCAAGAAAGGTGGAACTTCGAAACTCCGCATGTGCACAGACTATCGCGCCTTGAACCGGATCACGATCAAGAACAAGTACCCCCTACCTCAGATTTTCGAGCTCCTTGATCGTCTCCGTGGAGCCAAGTACTTTACCAAGATCTCCCTTTACAGTGGCTTCCACCAGATCCGTATCCGTGAGGAGGACACTCACAAGACCGCCTTCCGCTCTCGGTTCGGGCACTACGAGTGCCTCGTGATGCCATTCGGACTCACCAATGCCCCCGCTACCTTCCAATCCACCATGAACCACATCTTCCGCAACCTCCTCGAAGTCTGTGTCGTTGTCTACCTTGATGATATCCTTGTCTTCAGCCCCACCTTCGAGTCCCACCTTCAGCACCTCCGCCAAGTCCYYGCGATCCTCCGAGAGCAAAAATTCTACGCCAAGCTCAGCAAATGTACGTTTGCCACTTCGAGCGTCGAATACCTCGGCCATATTGTCTCCGCTGAAGGCATCCGTATGGACCCCTCAAAGGTCTCAGCCCTCGTCAAGTACCCCCCACCCAAGACCCTCCTCCAACTCCGTTCCTTCCTTGGCCTTGCCAACTATTACTGCTCGTTCATTCGCAATTTTTCCGAGATCTCGTACCCTCTCCACGAACTCACCCGCAAGGACGAGCCTTTCCATTGGAACGATCGCCGCCAACAAGCTTTCGACTTACTCAAGCATACCATCACCACGGCCCCACCACTGGCGCCTCCGACTTCGCCATCGGAGCCGTACTGTCCCAACATTTCCCCCGCGACACCGCCGAGACCCCCCCCATCAAGGACTCGTCCACTCACCCCGAGGCTCCACCTGGCGAATACCCTATCGCCTTCGCAAGCAAGAAGCTCCTTCCCTCGAAGATGAATTACCCCTCCAACGAGAAGGAACTCCTCGCCGTGATTCACGCCCTCACAGTCTGGCGCCCGTACCTCGACGGGCAATACTTCACCATCCGCACTGACAACACCATCGTCTCCTCCATCCTCTCCAAGAAAGATATCACTCCACGCCAAGCTCGCTGGCTAGACTTCCTTGCCCAGTTCACATTCACCATTTGCCACACCCCCGACAAACGCAATCGCGTTGCCGATGCTATCTCGCGACGACCCGACCACAAGCCCCCCGAGAAAGTCTACGCCACCATGACTCATATTCAACTCCTTCCATCGCTTCATCATCGATACACCCAAGGCTATCTCTCCTGCCCAGACTTCGCCACCATTTACAACAAGCTCCGCGATCTTGACTCAGTTCCCTACTACTCCCTTCACAACAATCTCCTCTACATCGACACCAAAGGCACTCGCCGACTTTGCATCCCCGACGCACGAGGCCTCCGTACTCAGCTGTTGGCCGAGCACCACGACGCCAAGACCGCAGGACATCTCGGTTTCCAGAAGACCTTCGACACCATGTCCCGCTACTTCTACTGGCCTTCCCTACTCGCCGACGTTAAGGCATACATTCGCTCGTGCCCCACGTGTCAAACTGTCAACCCCTCGAACCGGGCCGACCATGGGCATGATTGCATCTACGTCATTGTCTGCCGCTTGACCAAACATGCCCACTTCATCCCTTGCACGACCTCAACAATGCCAAAGACGTCGCCACACTCTTCTTCGACCATGTCGCTCGCCATCACGGCCTCCCCGAGAACATCATCAGTGACCGTGATCCTCGCTTCCTCTCACAATTCTGGAAACACCTATTCACGGCCTACGGAACCACGCTCAAGTATAGCACTGCATTCCACCCACAGACCGATGGACAAACAGAGAAGATGAACGATACACTCCAAAGAATCCTACGGAAGTATTATCATCCACACCAACACGATTGGGATCAGTTCCTCACAGCCGCCGAAATTGCCTACAACAATGTTGTCTGCCCCTCCACTGGCATGTCCCCTTTCTACCTCGACCTTGGCTACCATCCCCGCTTGCCCTYTGATTTCTTGCTTCCCTCGCAGCTCAGCCCCTCCACCCCTTGCCCCTCTCTCAATGAATGGATAGGAACAATGAACAGACTCCTCAGAGAAGCAACCGAAGCCCTTGAAAGAACACAAGAACAACAAGCCATCAAGACTAACAAACACAGACGTGACGTGTCATTCARAGCAGGGGACAAAGTCTGGCTTTCTGCCAAACGCTTTGAACCCGAACAAGGCTTGTCCAAGAAACTCTCGAACAAGYGGCTCGGTCCCTTCCCCATCATTGAACAAACCTCCCCCGTCAACTACAAACTCCAACTCCCCCCTGACATGAGTCGTGTCCACCCAGTCTTCCATRTCGAGTACCTAAAAGAATACCATGAATCCCCG